TATGATTTCGTATGATTATGTTATTTGTTGATTTTCTAAGATTTTGGTACTTGTTTGGTTCGATTTTGGCATGTTTGTATTACCATTTTTTCTATATTTGTTTATCCGTTCACTGGGCATTTGGCTCAGCCGTGTTTTTTTTAATTTCCTCACGGCAGGTAATCAAAGGACGGATAGGTTTTGTGAAAGAGAGTAGATCAGAATCTTGGTTCCAAGGATTTCAAGAGGTTTAGTGTTATGTTAATTCAATTATTAGATTTTGTTCCTTTCTAGCTATTAGATTAGATTTCTTTGGTTGTTTTTAGATTTTCCTCGGTTGTTGGAGGATTTTGGAAATAGTTTGTTTGGAGACCTTATATCTTATTTGGAGTTATATTCAATTTCGTTATTGAAAGATTTTATTTTGTATTGGAGACTATATTTTGGAGGTTTTATATAGCGCTCCGTTACGTTTTGAAGTAACCTCCCTTCCTTCGGAATGGGGGTGTTACAATGGAATTATAAATATCAATTTCGGTCAACAATACATAAATTATTTATATATTAAGATCGTATAATTTAGATATTTGTTGTATAAATCTTCTTCCATGCATTTTTTTGCAAATAAATATATAACGGAAGACATATTCAAAGATGTACAAAAAAAACGAGGACCGAAGCCCGGCCCTAAGAAAATATAGTTTTAGTAAACTCGAGACCCGACCCATTTCAGGACAAAAAGCTTTATCAAAAATTTTCTTCAAGGTCCGGTTAAAACTTGGATAAAGCTGGATTTTTAGTCGAAATTAAGTTTCTGCTGGTCCAAGCCCTAAAAACACAATCAAACTAACCATTATGCACAAAAATCAGACCCAAGAAAACCCGATAAAGCTTGAGAAAACCTTAACCAATAACGAAACAAAAACTAGTCGTTTTTTTGGTCTTTGTGGGTTTTTTACTATATAAATGATTTTTTATCCTGAAAATAGCCGTTATGAAGGGCGTTATTGAAAAAGTAACTTTTATGATAATTATGAATGATTTTAACTTTTTAGATATAATTTTATTTTATGTTTTTACAATTTAAATTTGAAATATTAGTAATTAATTTAAGGATGGAAGAAATCACTACAATCTTTAAACGATTAACCATATGATTTTAATTGTATTGTGTTATTAATTATTTTATTAAAATAGAGAAAAGAAAATAAGAAGCTATATATTAATCTTTAAATTTAGGGAAATATCCAAAATTTAAAACCGAGTAGAAAAAAAATATTATTTTAATTGTTACCATCAATGAGTTTGAATGTATTATTATTTATAATAAAGTTTTTTTTCAAATGTATTGTGATAATAAATTTATATAACATTTTAATAATATAATCTCTAAAATCATCTTTTTTAAGATTTTTGTTTTTGATACTCGATTTAAAAAAATATATATATATATAAAGTATCTATTTGAAAGCCTCTTAATTATACAAATTTTGCCATATCAGAAAGGTGATGATATGAAATTAGCAATTACCGTAATAGCCATTTGTAATTAGGTTTGAAACACATCGGCGACTTTGCAGGCCTTTGGTCTACCTTAAAGGTGATCCCAGTAGACAAAAATCTTGGATCCGCCACTCCCGGATGTACAATATCACAATGATAGTAGAACCACATAATTCTCCGTGTTTTGTTTTGCATGCCATAGTTGTATTTGTGTGTTTGTGCTTGATATGATTGTTCTTACATTATCTGTGATTTGATTATTGTGATAGTAAACCAGTATTTCCACATTCTTGTATTGGTTTGTTCACGATTGGACTCCGATTGTCGATGGTATATTAACTTTACCTACTATCAGTTCTTAATTACTGATTACTGGTTGCCCAAAGATGCTTAAAAATGATGTAGTAAAATCGCTGCAGTCTGTCGCAGTAAAGTCATCGATCGTAGTCCAGATAAACAGGTCGATACCCACAAATGAACCACCCAATTTCATCATTGATTCTTCGTTCATCTTCTTATAAGTTTTGTCAAGATTCTAGGAGCAGACCAACTTATGGAAAATCGATCAAAACAAACAGAAGTTAATGAAAATCGGTTATTACTGTTAAGTAATATCACCCAAGGTAGAAGCTTTTGATACAAAGTTCAGATTGGATTCAAAAAAACTAACAGATCGGATAGATACCGAAAAAACTAGATAGACTTCAATCGAACAAACCCATTAAGCCCGTCTCCTCCTCAGATGACTCCTCGGGTTCTTCCTTCTTCTGCTCCTTTTCAGCCGCTGCTGGTGCTGATGAATCTGCAGCCACAGAAGAAGCCGGGGCCATTGCAGCTTCAAATTTGCTTGGGTCCTGCCATTGATGATCATGGTCTCACACTTATTATTTGAAGAATAGATCATTTCACCTAAAACTCAAAGTTGTACTTAAAGAAGTGAAAGAAAGAATGTTGAACCTTCAAGAATTCCTTCACTTTTTCAGCCTGTCTGAAAGAGTACTCGGTGGCAACAGCCAGAGATAGCAAGTTCTTGTAGCCATTGATAAGGAAATGTGGTGCTGCAGCTAAAGTAGGGTAATGAATGGCCAATGAAAATGCAGCAATCTCAGAAAGGCCCACAGCGAATTTTTCAGCCAGATCGTCTTCTGTGATGTTAAGCACTTCTGGACTGAACACGGATCCGTTCTCGAAAACCGATTGGACAATAAGGCCATACGAGAAGGGTTTTATTTTTAGTTTACTGAGAAGGGCAGCCTCCGAAGAACCGACTTTGTCACCCTTCTTAATGAGTTCCACTGGGGTTAGAATTTCGACGGTTCCTTTGTTAATCTTTGTAGGGATGTTGAGCACCTATTAGCAATTAATTCAGCAAGAAAACCCATGTTTTAGATCATCAAAACAAAAGAAACTGGTTAGACATAGTCCAGTAGGTTTTCGAAACATTCGTTTTCTATAACCTGGAAAAAGGAAGTTTGCGAAGGATCCAAGCCCGTGTTTCCAGGAGGTACGATAACGTCGATTGGTGCAATAAGACCGACACGCGCTGGTGCTGCAATCTGTCAAATGCCAAGTGCTTTACAAACTTGTAGAACTCAAAAACTTTCATATATTGTAGCACCTATATGTCCATTAAGTCCTAAAAAGTCTATTAAGACATTTAGATATCTCTTTTGTCTTACCTTGTACTTAGCAACAACATCACTGACTTCCTTAAGATCTCCTTTAGTAAAAATCAATCCCACATTTCCCTGATTTCCAAGGCAAACCATCAACCAAACTTTCAAGAAATACAAAAACACATCCATGGAGTTATATGTAATAAAAGAAATAGTGATCAGAAGATATGATACCACAATAAGAGGAATAAGGTTGAGCATATTGGTGTTGCCAGTCCTCTCAGCATAGAGCCTAATAGTTCTCTTCATCATGGTGTTCTTACCCATTAAGACAATAGAATCACCTCTGAGCCCTTGCCTTATGTTTTGTAGCTGGTTCGAACCCACGTTGTCAGCACCAACGATGAGTATCTGGGTGTAATGATCAAGAAGCTTGCTCAGCCTGGCGTCGTAGTTGGTCTTCTTCTGCATTTTGGACAACTTCACTGCCATCTTAATTGGTGTTTAATTTCTCAAGAACCCTAATTAAAAATCCAAGAGATCAATGGTGTGCATGAAGGTGGTTTTATAAGTGATTCAGTTATTGATATGGAGAGATACGTGGTTGAGTGGTTGGACCGGGTTTCATTCTTTTCCGTTCTTCTTCCTATTTTTGAGTGCACAATTAGAATACAATAAAAAGAGGGCTTAAAATGTTATTCATAGTTGAAATTATGGTAAAAAAGGAGTAATCATATGACAAATTTTTAATCACAAAAATCAATTACGATTTCTTGAAGTTTTCAATTTCTTGAAGTTTTCAATTGATGAGATTTACATCTTTGGTACATTTGATTTTATAAATCTTGTGAAATGATATATTTGTGGGTTTTGGACATTTTGATAAATAAATCATAAGAATATGTTTGTTTTATGATTTAAGGTCTATCTTTGACGTTAATGCAGTTTCATTGTATTTGGTTTTATAAACCGTTTGGAAAATGTACCATGTTGTGTTATGAGGCATTTTGAAAATATAAAAGGTATGATTTCATTTGAAAAATGATTTGTATCAACCAAGATGGGATTTTTTTAGTCGATCCTACTTTTGGAAGCATGTGTTTGCATAAACGTTGGTTAAAGGCGTTTTTATCACTTATGTAACCTTTATTTGAGTAGTCAAATAGGTGCGGAGTTATGACTTGATTTTGGCCCATTTGAGTTTTTGGGACATTTATATGGTTTAAATTGCTCAATATGGAGCTTAGGTACTAATTTGCTTTTACTGCATCTTTATTTGAGAATTACAAACTTTGAATGCGTTGGTCATTCAACTAGGATCATGTAATTTAGACTGTAATGTATTGAATTCATAGGCATAAGAGTCGTGTGAGGTCATAATAGGTATTGTGAAGTATAGACTTATGTAGAGTCAAACTCCAGGACTTATGAGTTGTCTAAACCATTTGTATTGCGGAGGTAAACTTGCATAGAGTTGGACTCCAGGAGCAATGGGTGGATTTTTGTTATTTAAGTGAGATGTTCTGATGTTCTTATTATAGTTTATAACGAGTGTTCACCAAGTCAATGATTGGGAAAGCTTGCGATGGCACTCATTTGAGTCGTATACTAAGTTAGGGTATTGCGGTGGTACTTATTGGACTCGTATATGGAGACTGTTGACTTATGTGGGTGAGGCTCATCTAGAGGACAAGTAGGAATCATGGTCACCCTAATGCTTACAGTGGTACTCATCAGAGTCATATACGGAGCTAAGGCTTGCGATGGTACTCTTTGAAGTCATATACGAAGTTTGGGTCTTGCGGTGGTACTCGATAAAGTCGTATACGAAGCCCATTGACCTTGATAGAAACTCGGTAACGTTGATGTATGGTTTACTTTGTGTTCGTCACATTCGATGGATACGGTTCAACCCAATCACCGAAAATGTGTTATTTTTGGATAATATGTTATTCATATTCTTAGTGTTACTTTGGGTACTGGTTTGGTATATTGTAGTCAATATTTGGAGTATTAAACCTTATTCATTTTTGTGAGTGTTGGGTTCTGATTTCATGTTAAACGGGTGTTTTGATTGATGAGTTTTCATCGTTATTATGGTGAGTTTTAGAATAGATGTTAATTTTATAATAAATACATTTTATTTTGGAAAGAGCAAAATGCACAAAATAACAATCTACTTTCATAAAAAAAAATTATTATAGCATTGTACTTTCGATTTTTCTTATTACAACAATGTACTTTCAAACTATTTTTTATTAGAACATTGTACTTTAAAAAAATTACTCATTATAGCATTGGGTAACCTTTTGATTTAAATTTACTCATTATACCAGGTTTTCATGCCACCTCATTGTCCATGTAGGTTGTCCACATGTACTACAGTGATGTGACTTTCTTACTGCATCATTGTACTTTCAAAATTATTTTATTATAACATCTACTAATTCTTATTAAACATTGTATTCTTAATTTTAATATTTAGATATTTTACATGTTATTTAATAAATATATTAAATGAATTAAAAAATTCTAAATTATTCATTAATATACCAATATCAATAAAACTAGTATAACACAACTTATCTCGCTAATATTTTTTAAAAATATGTGTTTTTTGAAAAAAAAAATAAGAATTGTTCATTTTTTACCAAAAATATTATCTTTTAAAGAATATATTATATTTGTTCAAAAGCTTTTACTTGACATATAAATATATTAAATTAGTTAGATTTTTTTGAATTATTTATTAATATAACAATATTAAAAAGTTGTAGATAACAATTTATTTCGTTAACATTTTAAAGAGAACTTTAAAAGATATGTATTTACTTGAATAACATAAAATAAGAAAAGTTACATTTTTTACAAACAAAATATATCTCGAAAATAATGTTTCATATTTATTTAATAAATATTTCACTCTAAGAATATTTAATTTGCATGCATCTTAATAAGAAAAAGTCAAAAAAATTAAATGTTTTTTTATATCATATCAATGAAAAATGAAAATCACTAATAATAATTTGAAATAGGTTTTTATTTTTATTTTAGTTAAGTTATCAAAATAATGTGTCATCCACATCACCTCATTAAAGCCACACAAGTAAAAAAAGTCAAAAGGTTAACCGGTTTAAAAAGTAACAAGTTACCCATTGCTATTATGGGTAGATTTTTTAAATTACGATGTCTTAATAAAAAATAATCTGAAAGTACATTGTTGTAATAAAGAAAAACAAAAGTAGAATGCTATAATAAGAAAATTTATGAAAGTAGGTTGTTATTTTATACATTTAACCCTTTTGGAAATGGTGATTTAAATAACATTCTTTAAGTTTTACAATTTTATAATGATGAAAACGACTTGAACTCACTAGGGTTTAAGTCTAACACTTTTTTCCTTGTCGGCATGCGAATCAGGTCCTTGTTAAGGAATGGTACTGGCGACACTATAAAACATCGAGTGTTAGTTAGAGGCACAAGTAGGATTTAGTTATTCGGAGATGTCTTCCGTATTTTGGAGATAACGACTGTTATTCCGTAATTTGTTAATGTTAAATCTTAGATTGTTATTATAGTAGTTAATCAAGTGTTGACATTTAGAAATGAATTTATTCCTTATTTGATGTTCAATCGAAGATTTTAAATTAGCCGTTTTTTCCAGATTTGAGGGTGTTACATTCTCCCACTTGCAACCATAATTTCCATAAGCCCTTCGACCAGCAACAAACACGAGCTCGCTGTCAATAAGACTTTAAGGTCATTGGTTCAAATTCCTTCAAAAGCTCTTATCAACAAGGCTCAAACGCCAATAGGTCATTTTGTTCATGGAATTCGAAGAAATTTGATGGAATTGGAATGACAATTCTATTTGACCTAATTTCTTGATAATATTTGGTTCACGGTTGAGGGATTGATCATTCTTTGGCATATTCGTGGCAAATGTAATAAAAAAAAATTTAATTTGATTTTAAAAACACAAAAATAACAGTTGCATCCAATTTAACAAACACCACCACCTTTACTCTTACCACCCCACCCTCACCACTCTTACCACCATCGTCATCTTAACACTCCCTCCACGAACATCTCCGCCACCACCATCGTCGCCACCATCACCTCTACCATCATTGCCACCACTACTGCTAATTGATATCAGCATTGATCAACCACCCCCACCGCCAACCTACCCCAACCCCGACACTACCAGGCCATTATTCTCATCGTCGTAGGCGCCCACCAACCCTACCCCCAACACATACAGATTCCAATTCTTTTACGAGATTTCATTCCAATTCTTGTCAAACAAACGTGTGTTCACATTCCATTCCGATTATTTTAAAGTCAAATTCCTTTCATAGATTCTAATTCCACCAAATTTCAAACCAAACGATCTCATAATTATTCTAAATAGTTACTCCATAAACCCAATCATAACTTTTTTTTACAAAATAGTAGACATTAAATTAATATTTCAAAATATTAATATAATGCCATTTCAAATGATTAAAATGAAGCGGTTTGATTAAACTACAACCCAACTCCAGAACACATATACGGATGCGGGCTTACCAGAACGAAGCCGCCCTTTTTAAGTATAGAAACAAACAAACCTTGTGTCCACCACCGCCCCATCCGGCTCCACTGTTGACCCAAACATAGACCCGTTTTGACTTCTTCTGGACCCGAAGCATAAAAGTAATCAAATCATTTTATCAAACAAAATTTGTTCATTAGCTAAGACTATCTCCAACAACTTTTCTATAATTTTTCTAAAATAGAAAAAACATAAATTTTCTATTTTAGATATTTAATATAAATTATATTATTAAAATATTCTCTAATTTTTCCAAACATATCCTCTTTAACATCCATTTGTAAGTCGGAAAATGGATTTTATTTAATGTCTTTTTGGAACATGGATAAATGATGAGAATATCATATTTGTTAAAGTAATATGTTGTATTTAAATATTTTAGTACATTGCTATCTGCAACCCTAACAGGTTGTTGATAATAATTTATATTAATTAAAATTTAATACAAATAAATTAAAATAATAAAAAGGGAAAAAAAATATTCATCTCAAAATAAGTGTCTACATTATTATTTTAGTTTGTTACAGAATAAGTATTCATCATCAAAAGTAAAAGTCTCTCATTCTACCCTTAATTGCAAAAAACGGAGAAACAGTGATAAATTTGTTTTATGGTCAATTAAAAGGTGTAATAATTACAAATTCCTAAAATTGTGTGCATTTTTCACTGTGAACATTTATTTTTAACTTCAGGTGTTGTTTATTTTTTAGAAAAAAATTATTATCAGGCACTTATGCCTCGTTCGGTAAGAAACGGGACCATTCAGTTATATAGTCAGTTTTGAAATACTTCTTCGTATATGGTTCCTAGAACACAGGTTTTGTGTGATAGAAATCAAAGTTAGCGGTAAACCTTTTGCTAGGGATGGAAAGGGAGAGGGTATTGGGCAGGTAATTCATCCCTCGTCCCTGACCCCGCCACGACTAATCCCCGACGGGTTCAGGAGAAATGAATCCCCGTCGGGGTTGAGAAACTCATTGGATATCTGTTTAGTGAAAAACGACAAAAATAATGTATTTTAAAATTAGAATGATAGTGAATCGTCATTATATAAATCACTAATATTGAAAGTTGAATATGTTTGTCGTTTGATAATAAATGTATACAGTGGCGAAGAATCGTGTGAGTAGAGAAGTTATGGTGAGAAGCGTAAGAAAAGATCTGAAACTTTGATCACTTTTAATCTAATGCTCACTCATGAATAGCGCTTTAGGATGTAATTAATCTGGTGCATCTCGGTGTATCTCATTAGTGTTAACATTTAATTAAGATTGATCCAATAGTGGAGATCTCAGATTGATCCAAGGGTATATACACTATATATATATATATATATATATATATATATATATATATATATATATAGGGTTGGGTTCACGTGAGACCAGCCTGTTTTCGTGAGACCCGTGAGACCACATTTTTACACGTAACCTTCACAGAAAAAACACTGTGAAGGTTTAAAAAAAGTCGAACTTTCACAGCAAAAACACTGTGAAGGTTTTAAAAAGTCACCTTCACAGCATTTTGCTGTGAAGTTTCAAGTGTAAAATGTTGGTGTCACGAAAACAGGTTGGTCTCACATGATCCCAAGTCTATATATATATATATATGGGTGAGTTTATTTGTTAACACAATATATGATGTTAACTTTGTGAACCAATCCTAACATTTAATCTTTGTAATCTATGGATAAAATTTATCATGACATTTTTGTAACAAATTTAAAAATGATGCTTAATAAGCATAGGTAAACAATCATGAACAAAAAGTAATTTTGGAAAAAAATAGTGGGATTTCTTTTAGCATTAATTATTTTCCCGATAATTACTTCATCATTTTAAAACCGACATCGAGCTTTAATTATTTCTTCATTTATTAATATGTAATGTGTAACTTATAAATGGTGTGAATTAAATAACAATTGTTATATATGAGTAGCTTATGAACATTGTTCACTAATGAAAATATAACATATATGAAAATGTTCATTAGCGAACACATACTTGAATGTGTACGTATGTGTGACTGGTGAACAGTGTTTCACCAGTGAATAAGTTGTCAATGTGAACAGTGTCCATTATTAAAAATTGAGTGCACTCTCATTCATATTAATTGCTACTATGTTCATATTGATCATCCATATTATACGATATACTAGACACAATGAACTCGTTCGATTAAGAATGTTGACTGTTGAAGTGTTGTTGATTATTTTTCAAAATACATTCGTTTATGAATAATCACAAACAATATAACTTACAACACACTGGTAATTTCAAAATGACTAAATTCAATGAGTAACATAACTCTCATTTAAATGTATTAAAGTAATACAAGACATAATCTTACTATTTTGCCCTCAATCATTAATTATATAAGAATCTATGAACTATGGTACTAAATTTTTTATTGGTCTAAAGAGTTTGTATAGTTAACACAAATGAATTGGTTAATAAAATGTCATACCCCTCTCTCTCTCTCTCTCTCTCTCTATATATATATATATATGTATATATATATATATATAAGAAAAAAAAAAAGTTCAAAACTATTTAAAAATTATTAAAATTATCCCGAATATATTTGTAAAAGTTATATTTATAAAAGTGATAAACAAATAAAAAATAAAAAACAAAAAGCCTTAAAGATAGAGACAGATGGCTTGTGCCATCAACCTTCTATGGATAAGACGAAGTTATCATCGATGAATAATACCAGACTCATCAACTAAAACTTGACCTTTTTCTTCTCAAGTTGCACCTTTTGTAAGGTTTCTTCATTTGTAAGTCGTACTACTTCCATCATCCTGATTATCAGTTAAGCACTCCAACCGTTTGATGAAATGCCTAAAAAAACAATTTGTCTTTACACTGTTCTTTTTACTCTTTTGATGTTTATGTTGCTTTTATAACACTACAGTTTAAATTCCAATTTGTGAATGGATCGGCTTTGTTGATATAGTTCCATGGATCAAAGTAATATGTCATGTTTATGATGTAAGAAGTCGGCGTTTTCATCTTCTTTTCCGAAAACAAAGAACTATCCCCCGATTTATATCATCGAACTTTTTGCATTCATGCCCAGAATCTTTTAAATCAAAAATGGATTTGGGTTTTTGTTGGAAATTGACAACACCGCTTTATTTAGGGTAATTGTTAGTAAAGTTCAATGTGGTTATATATTTTCCTTGTACATATCTACTATCTAGGACTTTTATTGATTTTAAGTAAAGTTTATCCCATTCCACATAATCACATCGAAGTCCAGTGGATGGAAAAATAATTTTGATTTGTTAGCACAGTCAGATCCCAGAGTTGGAATTGCATTTGCTTATATTTTGTTATTGCTCTTCTGTCTCAGATGCAACTATGGCGACCACCAAGATATATATAATGTGAGTAAATTTGTGAGTTCCCCCCCCCCCCCCCTCTTTCAAAAATGATCACAATAGCACATACACAGTGTGATTATTTCAAGGTATTTGCTTTATCAGTATGTGTTGAAGTTGCATTTGGGTTAATCTTGTTCCAGTTATTATTCTCTGCATAAACATGTGGAGTATATGGCTAGAGAAGTACAACGTGGAGCGAATTCAGTCGAAGGAATCGAAGCAACACTTTGGCAGGTCATATTCTCATGTTATGATGGCTTTTGAAATTTCAGTTCAAAACTTTGTACTAGAGAAAAAAGGGAGATGTATAGTTTCTTTTACCGGTAATTGGCTTTTTTAACCACCAAACTCGACTTTTGATGCAAACTAATCATTGTTCTTGTCAAAGTCCCAAACAAACACTATTATTTGCAACGATCAGCAATTTGGAGCAAGTAATAGAGATGTGAAATGGGACAAATAGAAACAAACTTGCCACTCCTTGTCCAAAATCACTCAATTTTGGAAAGTATAGTGTTCTTTGTTGCATTTATGCAAGAACAATGGCTTATTTGTGAAACAACTAAAGATTGGAAATTTGGAATTAATTTCTAATATCTATTTCTGTGGGGAAAATCCATGTTTATAAGGTTTACAACATAATCTCATTGGCAATGATACATGGATAACGAGTGGAAAAAATAAAAATCAAAGATAACAACTATCAGCTAAAAATCCTGTAACTTAAGAATGAACATAGATATCAGTCATGGTCAATTTGAGGCTTCCATAGAGGTTTAACACTGTGTTATCTTGTTAAAGTTCTAGTCAATTTTTGCTTCTGAAAGATACTACTTGGGGGCGGTGGGGTGCTTTGTCAACAATTTCCATGTTTAAACCTAATAGTTCTTTCTTGAGGGGGCGAGGAGGGGTACATAGAGGAGGACATGGGATAAGCAACTGAGATTGGATATGATGACTTTAGACATTCCTGAGGACATGATCTCTGATAGGAGTTCTTGGAGATGCAAGACTAGGGTCGCAGACTAGGGGGTTCTAGATGGGTGAAGGGAGTTGGAGGTAGATATATAGATCCAAATTTAGGAATAACCTCATTTCAAAAACAACATTCCAAGATCCTAAAAATATTACACGGAGGAAAAATTAAAACTTAGATAACTGAAATTAAGAAATCTAATACCCAAATCAATCTTCACTTTAACTCAAAGCCGTCATCAGGTCTTGAATTGCACCTTCAAACAAATCTCCTCGGAATTTTAAAGCATGCTCTTGTCATTAATTGAATAGGGTTAATTAAAGGCCTAGTGAGTTCACGTTTTTTCATGCACGTTGACGTTATGCATTGTAATTGTACCCTCCAGGGACCGGGGACGTCAACAACAACAAAAAGTGGGGAGGGGATTGCATTCCGTGCCCCATCCCCACCTTGTTGCCATCCCTATATCAACAACAACAAACAATGATCCAAAGCATCAAGTTTGAAGCATCTTTTTCACATAAGCATGCATAATAGTCAAACAGTTTAACCCCCTGGTAACTATGCACAGTGGTCGCAAACTGTCACACACATACGACAAACCGGCATGAAATGCATTCTTGCCCAAACAATCCCCTTTTGCCGACAAGAAAAAAGATTATTGCGCACAAGTAACTTCCGCATGTGGACGTTGTAGTCTTATGGCAGCCTCCACTCTCATTGTGTGAGTTAACCCAACCCACACATAAACCATTACCATGTTTCATTATTGAAGAAATCGAGAGTCCTTTTTGTTTGAAAATAATGCAATCTAGGGCTTGATGAGTTTGAGATTTTGACATTGGTTCGAAGTCGAGTTCAGGATCTGAATGAAATATGAGATATCGTTTAGATGGAATTGTTGTGTTTTGAAGACTTTGGAAATTAGATTTTTAATAATTTCAGTTATCTAAGATTTAATTTCTGCTGCAGTGTATTTTATTGAGGATCTTGGGCTATTTATTTGTATTTGGAGTTATTTGAAATTTTGGGACGTTACAGTAGAGGGTAGGGATTATAGTTGGTGAGTCAGTGGTTAGATTACCAGAAACCTAAGGTATTCTTGGGGTGTCTTTTCCATACCTTGGTTATGTTTTCTCCTGTAGTTGCCTATATTTGTATTTTGTTTCTTACTTTTATCTAGTTTCTCAAATTGTAGCATATTTGTCTTTCTCCCTTTCTAGTTTTATTTTTGTTGTTCACTATTATCTAGCCTTTCTTTTTTAGCATATTTTTTTTCTCCTTTTGACGCACATTTCACTAGTCAGGGTTGTCATAGAAACAATCTTTCTACTATTTAGGGTAGAGGCTTGCCTACATGTTAGCCCCCCCTGGGGCGACCCCACCTTGGGGTGGGATATACTAGGCTTGTTTTGGTTTTTGGTTCCATGTTTCAACCTTAAGGACAAGCCAAGGGTTGATGCAACCACAAAGGAATGGTGTATATGATATTTATATATGGCAAATTAAACTCACACACTCCTCTCCTTTGGTGATGTTTGAACCCTTGACCTCTAGGCCAATGGCCCTTCGGTCTCTTTCATATCTTTTATTATCTACTGGTATCCTCTTTTGGTTTTATTTCCTTTTAGAGTAGTTTTGGCTTTATATTGATGTAGAGTTATAGAGCACAAGGGATGGCAAAAGGAATATTCATCAATTTCCTCTCTATTCTTTCAACTAGTAACATAAGAACCCTAACAGTACTAGGAGACTGCATAACTGGTGTACAAAATAGACAAAAATTTACTTGACTATACTTAGGGAGTAAGGGGCTATTGGATTTTATTTCATATTATGTCATGTCCAAACTAAGATCAGTTGTTATTCATTTTAAGTGCTGAATCAAAAGATTGCTACTTTTATTGTTTCTTTTGGAGCAGGGGTTCTTAGTCAAAATAGGATTATTTGTAAGATATAGAAAGATAAAAAATTCTATCTTTTTTACCGTGAGGAATTGCCAAACCATTTGACTCTTCAACCATGCCAATATAAAGGATTATTTGGATTTTGGAGACTTATATTGAATGTGAATGTGTCTTACAACCAAGAATAATTCAAGGGGTCATCATTCTCAGCACCCCCTTTTATATGCAAGCCACAACTTGCCCTTATCAACTAAGGTATACCATTTGCATAGATATACAAGGGGAAATAACTTGCTTGATTTTATTTTGGAATGTCATTTTACCTGGTAATTAAAAATTTCACCATTATACATGTAAAGGAAATATAACATGTATGGTTCATTGAAAAAGCTTAAATGGTTTGTAGATAAAATCTCTCTCTTTCTCCTCAAGGACTCATAAAGCAAAAGCCACAATAAAACACCATGTCAAAAATGTGAAAAAGCTAGACGATAGACTGGGTAGCGCACAAGGCAAAAAATAAGATCAGATTAGGGTAGAAAATATACCATGATTTATGTTCGGGAGGAGCAAGGGGTAGCAGACGTGTAGAAGCAGCAGGAGACGACAGCAATGGGATAGCAAAGGAGGAGCAACGGTGAGAAGATGAGGAGTCCGCGATTTAAGTTTAGAATTTTTAGAGGGTTTGAGAAGGTGTGCGATTATAGAGAGGGTATTTGTCTTTGTGTGTGAACATGGAATGGATTACTTGAGTAACCAAACTAAAACAAATGAACCCAGTAAATCCCATGGGAAGTGAGGATTACGGATGGTAAGATGTTTGCAGCCTTTCCGTTAAGACCCGAAACTTTTTTTGGGATGACTTTGATAACAGCTATAAGGTACGAAAGAGCAATAGAGCAGTGGAAGCATTATCTCGGAGGGAATTGGAATGTTCGGTGATGAGAGGGCATCAATGGTGGGATGTAATCAAAGAAGAGGTGGATAAGGATGAGTTATTGAAGAAGATCAAAAATGACTTGTCTGTGGGCAAAGGAGAGCACAAGGGGATTAATCTTGGGATGAAGTTACTGTGGCACAAAGACCGGGTGGTGTTGTCAAGCAAGTTATCTTTGATTCCTGTGATTTTAGAGGACTTTCATGCTTCAGCATTAGGTAGCCATTCCGGGAAGAAAGAACATTTCAATGGATTGCAAGTGAGTTGTTTTTATGAAAGCCGATATCCGTGATCATCATCGTGTTTGCAGCAACCTATTCCTCTGTCAATGCGGGTGGGATGAAGTTGCAAATGGGTTTTTATCAAGGGGTTGCCCAAATCTGAGGGAATGGATACCATACTGGTGGTGGTGTGAGAGACGGTATCAGAAGTTGGCAGCTCATTTTTATGGGCTATTCGAGGTACTAGGAAGGGTTGGTAAAGTGTTGAAACTTCCACTTGATGCATAGTGTTTCATGTTTCTCAGTTACAACAAACCATTGGGCTGTGTAAATCGTCGATGGTATTTCCTTCACAATTAAATGAGGAACTTGTCTTAGGGGTCGAGCCTGAGGAATTATTACAATGTCGAACTAGTGTTTTTGGGGCGTTGGAGGTTTTAGTAAAGGGGAAGGGATTACCTCTATTTGAGGCATCTTGGGAGCAGTTTGACATGTCCTTGAAGACAAGGTGAAAGTGTGGCGGGAGTGTATTGTTAGGCCAAGGATACGTTCCATGTATTCTATGAGGAAGACGATGTGAGGGCATTACAGTCTTTTGCCACATGAGGGAAGTCGGAGTTCATTACAACCAATGAAGGTAGTTGAAGGAGAGAAGAGTAGCTATAAATAGGGAGGGAAGTCAGGCAGAAGGTTATCGAGTTTGTGAATGTACCTGGAGAGTGACATGCTCTCGAACATCCAAGGGCTATTTAAGAGCATGTGAGAAGTGACATGCCCTGGCGCTAGGGGGCTGTTTAAGACCATACAAGGAGCTTCGAAGAGCACAAACCCTTACGGGTGTAAAAAATAATTGTAACCGAATAACCCTCTCGAACCTAATGAGATATGGGTTAAACAGTTCCAGGCTAACCGAATGAGATTTGGGTTGAAACCCTGGACTCTCTTCCTGAACAACAAAGTCGAGCAGTTGATCCATATATACTCCTTCCTCATAGATGCCATTGATGGGAGGTCAGTATTAAATAGGAAAACATATTGAGCACACCAAGTCCTATAATCTGATATGGATATAAATGGTTCGTGGTTGCATATGGCAGTCCTTTGGTTCTAATATCTATTTACGTGGGGGAAATCCTGTATTTATAAGGTTTAGAACATAATCTCATTGGCTATAAGATGAGGATAAAGACTAGAAAGAAAGATAAAAGATGACAACTATCAATTACAAATCAATTTGCAATATGAACCAAGTAAGATGGTTCGGAAAACCAGTAAAACGTTCTTTTATCTCTAATATATTACATGTTATTTTGTGAAATCTTGTCTAGGTACCAGAAACACTGCCTAGCCTGGTACTACAAAAGATGAAGGCTCCTCCTAAACCAGAGGATGTGCCGGTGATTAAGCCAGAGCAGCTTACAGAAGCCGATGGATTCCTATTTGGATTTCCTTCTCGTTTTGGTGTGATGGCGGCCCAATGTAAAGCTTTCTTTGATGCAACCAACGAGCTGTGGAAAACTCAAGCACTTGCTGGTAAACCGGCTGGGGTCTTTTGGAGCACAGGTTTTCATGGTGGAGGCCAAGAACTTACAGCGTAAGATAATATAGACCTACTCTTTGTGGGATATACTGGGTTCGTTTGATTTTGTTTGTGCATGATTCATAAGAATATAGGCGGGAATTTTCAGTTGGAGTCTGAAACTGAGAACTGGTTTTGTTTTGTTTTGCAAACCGGGGTTCTTCCTGAAACAATATCTCTACCCCTTGGGGTAGAGGCAAGGTTTGCGTACATCTTGCCCTCCCAAACCCTACCTCTGTACCCTCCGAGACTTTACCTCTGTGTGAGATATACTGGGTTCTTTTGGTTTGGTTTTTATATTAACATTCGTTGTTTACTTGCAAGCAGATTAACAGCTATAACACAATTTGCACATCATGGGATGTTATTTGTACCTCTTGGATACACATTTGGGAGTGGAATGTTTGAAATAGATGAAGTGAAGGGTGGATCCTGTTATGGTGCTGGAACATATGCAGGAGATGGAACACGAAAGCCGACTGAAATAGAGCTCCAACAAGCCTTTTATCAAGGTAAATATGTTTCCGAAATTACTAAAAAGCTTACCAGAAACTAGAACTCAGTTCAAATAATCAAATCCAGGTTTCAAACATTGTATGATCCTTGAATAACAACAGATTACTTCATACTCAACATTTGTGCGTGTGTGTGTGTATATATATATATATATCTAACACAATATGTAAATTTGCAACCCTTGATTGCATGAACAGTTGCATTTCCTGTACTTGTATTGGTATTACAATGAGGTGGATGAATAGGGTGTGATTGTAATTTGTGCCAACACTAACAAGGTAGAGAAACGAGTAAGGCTTAAAGATCTTGGTATGTTCAAGAACCTCGTTTGCCGGGTGAAATTTTCGTAACAAGGTATTGGGTTCAAATCCGGGCCCACCTGCCTTCGGCTTGGCCTAGCATGTCTGATGGGTCATTTAAGTAAATGACGTTAATTGAGTTCTTAATTAGGAGCATCATCTTTTAAAAAAGTATTTAACTTTATTAACCTTCAATTTTGATTAAATCCATGATCTCCACATGTGTTAAAAGAAAAAATGGCTTCATACTCATCAAAAGCTCTTCAGTTTAATTAAAATGTCGTTTAGATTTATATACCCTGATGTTAAAATATTATGCCTCTGGTGTAAATGAGACTGCTTCTGTAAAATCTTGAAAATACACGAGAAGATTAGTATAGAACAAAGAAAAGAGTTTCCATAGAAGGAGAAAATGACCACTATTTAATTTGTCTTTCTCATGATGGTGATGGAACTCTGAAGGGTAATTAAAACAGACCATTTTTCTCACAAAGTAGTTACTTTGTGTTCAAAAGATGCCACATTCAACCACAAGGGTGGTGTTTGATTGGTTTGAGTTTGGCTTTAAAGGTCAAAAGTATCTGGAGGTCTCAGGTTCAAATCCAAGGAGGAATAAAAATCCTCTTGTGACCACGGAGGTTCAAATGCGGTGACTTCGGACTATCCACAAAGCAGATGGTTGTCCGGAGATTAGTCGGCTAGCATAGCGGGTTGGATATCCAGGTTAATAAAAAAAGATGTCACATTCTTCTTTGATTCAAGATATTTAGAAGAAGAAAGAAAACGTCTTTTTTATTCCAATTTCATACTAAATTTACATATGTTTTCTACTAACAACTATTTGTAAGATTGATTTTGTTTCATAAAACTCTTTTTGTTTTATTGAAGAACATTTGATCAAAGACTTGGTTAAACAACGCATCAAGTCAACCATTACATATATATATATATATATATATATATATATATATATATATCCTTTGTGACTAATGGAGTATTGGTTTACATTCATAAGACTACCTCCATCAAATACCTTCCCATAATTTCCTTAAAATGCAAGTCTTGAATTATCCCCGAAAGTTTGATGCAAATAAACGAATCAAGTCTTTTTTTTCCCTCCCAAATAAAGGCCTCATTGACGCCAAGCATGAGGAAATGCGACGTTTGGTAACTTCTCCTTTGAACAGGATAAAAGATCCCATGGAGAAAAAAATATTCACATCTCAAAAAAAGATTTTGTATCAACTCAAGGGCCCTTTGTTTTAAAGATTTCAACCTTAATTATATTATTAAAGTATTTAATAATAGAAAAAATTATTCTCCCTTCTTCCATTTAATTTTATAATTCCAATTCTATGGGATTCGACAAATCAAACAGCCCCCCTAAAGCTTTATCCAAAATATGTTAGATATAAGAAACAAATTAATAACACTAGCGTTTGGCAGGCAGGCAAGCTTTTACATTAATTGCAATTAACCTATGAAATTAACAAAGACAAATACACCAAAAATGACCCAATTATCTACCTTTCACTAACCACAACTCCATTCACAGGCTTAATTTAAATACCATGCACACCTCCATCATCAAACCACAAATGACGATTCATTTTGACTTCCCAATTTGTTGCCATTCCGTCCATCATCTGTTACACCGTACATAAACAACTAACTTATATATGTCATCATGTATGCTTTTGACATGAAATACATAAGCTAACAATTTGTGTACGTATGCATGGATGCTACATAATATTAATAAACAACAATAAAAATTTTCTTCCATCAATTATTAACATTTCTTGTTTTTAACAATCAAAACCATTTATACGTACAAATACATTTTTCTTGTATTACATACGTCCAAATGGTTGGAACAATGAATCATATAAGGTCATCTCCAACTGATCGAACGATAAAACACAAAAAATAAACCGTACAACATACAAGATTTTTGTGTTAATGAATAGTAAAACACCAAATTTTGATGGGATACTCACTAACGGTAAGATTTTGTGTGGTATCTTGTTGATTTGCGATATTATAAGTGGTATGTTGGTTTTTAATTATATTTTCAGTTTGGCTGTAATGAAAATGGGCAAAATACTTATAATTATCAATACTTTTTGATGTGGAGTTGGACCTTTTGTAAATCCAAACCCATATCTAAATTAGTGTCAACATATATGGAGATATTAGGATCATCGACTTACCAAAAGGAAGACGCTGAACAAAGAAGCATGCCCCAATCGCTATATAGGCAAGGGCAAGAACTACTCCTTTCAAGTAGTGTGAACTTCCATCCTGCATCCAAAATTATATCACATTTTTTTATCAGTTAACTTCTGTCAACTCTTTGACCTACGTGTACAAACATTTCCTGCACGTGCATGATTGTACACATTGTTTCTAAGAAAGATAATGCAGGTCATTAGGATATGTGGACCTCATTTGAATCATTGAGAAGGTTGTTAGGATATGTTTATAAGGTTGGGTTGCGGTAAGAAGGGAAGTTATTGTGAGAAACGTAAGAAGAATCAATCCTAATAGAATGTCAATACTGATGAGGTGTATTAAGATGCCCCGGATCAATTCCCTTCTAAAGCGCAATTAATGGGTGGACATGAGATTAAAAGTGATCAAAGCTTCAGATCTTCTCATGCTTCTCATCTTAACTCTTTTCCTCACACGATCCTTCGCCTATGCTTATATATATAGAAATAGGGAAGGTTCCTACACACACATGTATATATATATATATATATATATAAATATATATAACATAAAGAAAATGAGATAATGTGAAAACCTGCAAGGAGAAGGCTGTAAGGAGAATTGAGAAGGCGAGACAACCAGTTTCAAGAAATCCAAAATCAAGATTCATTGGTATTCCCATTATCCAAGCAACAATCACACATAGAGGAACCTGATAGATCCAGTTTTATATATAATGTGTTAGAGGCTTAATGCATCAGTAAATTGTATATGTCCAAGAATAAGGAGATTTTGTAGAAAATCTCACCACAAACATCAAGATTTGAGATGCAGAACCCATACAGACACCCAAAGATATGTCCTGCATCATTTTTGACAAAGTTCAGAAACATTAACTGTTAGTAGTCAATCACCGGAATTGAAATCAAATAATGCATCTCAAGATGCTTTAATATCTTACCAATTTGTTCTTGAAGGCGAATATAATAGATCCAGCATGCTCTGCTGCGTTGCCAACAATGGGTAGCACAATTATGCTGATGAAGTTCACGGAGATTCCCCAAGTTTCTGATGCATCCTGATTCACAAGGTGGCCACAGATGCGTAGGCATTATTATCATGCATTATATAAAGTTTTCCAAGATTCAGATTTAAATGCACCATTTTCTCTAGACACACATTGATTGCTTATACTTCACAAGTGGATATACAAATGTAAACAAAATCGGAATCAATTGATCTGGACCGGTTTTCTGCTAACGAAAATTATAGGATCCTAATCAATACATGTTGATATTGTCTTAGACATGCATTCCTTACCGTATAAATATAATACCCGTGAAAATTAACTAAGTCATAAATAGTTGATCTTGGGTCATTTATACTGCGGTGGAAATTCTAGAGTCATTAAAATATCTCAATGTTTGTCTAGATATGCATGTTTAATTGTACCATACAAAATTACAAATAGATAAGATGATTGAAAAGCAATAAATACCTCAATTGTGCCCACAACGTACTCGGACAAGACGGAGATGATTATTGTCATCAAACATAACCATATAAATGCACTCCAAAAACCTATTGCTGCTGTCTCCTTATCAAGCACTTCGTCGACCTCGCCTTCATCCTAATTAATTTCAAAACACCCACTTCATTTACATATAAATAGGCATTTGGTTTGACCTTAAAAGTCAACATGAACAACAAAGTTACTGTGAAACGTGTGGAACCCCGTCCGATTACTCTCTAAAACAGCTCTTGAGGAGAGAGGGGGTTCCAACATATATTAAGAAAAAATGGTTCAAGTCTAGCTGATGTGGGACTCGATCAATAACAAACCTGTTGTGATCCAAAAAATTGGCTGTGGGTTTTCAATTGAAAGAAGAGGTAAGCAACATATGCAAGCAGCATCAGAATGCTGGTTGCTCTTGACAACTGGAGAACCGAATTGCCATCTGATTTGGATGCCTCCATGCTGCGGAAATTAAATAGCAACGGCATAGTCTGGCAAAGCAGCCCAAGTAAGAGCACCAACGAGTTCACGTCCGCCTGCTTCTGTTTTAGACATAAAACATGCATCAAATATCACTATTTCATATACGAAGTAAAAAGATTCTAAGATTTACTTAATATGCGGAATTAAAAAGAAGGATGTTGTTTACATGGTCAAAATTTTGTTCTTTATTGAGGTTGGCTATGCCGCCACATAAGAGAGAGGAGCCAAGAACAAGGAGGAGGTTTGAGATGATGGAACCTAAAAGAGAGTATTTCAGAACATGAATTTTCCTTTTATGGAGAGCAAACAATGCTATTATCAACTCTGTTGCATTCCCGCATGTAGCATTCACCAGTCCTCCCACTGCAAATATTACAATTTCAAATATCTATCAACCAATGATTTCAATCGGATATAAGCCCAAAATATAAGGCATCACAAAGAATGCATAGAAATATTCAAATTGAGTTTACAAAAAAACTCATTTAACATCATTTAACTAAATGATAGCAATTGGATACCAGAACATCTTTTAGTTGATTTTGAAAGAATTATCAATTTGGTTAACTACAATTTTCCTTGTCAAATTAGCATACTACTTATAGACATTGGTTTTTTCCCCTCTGTTGGTAATCAAAATCAGTTTTGTTTCACAACAGATAAGTGAGTGAACCAAGAAGATCCCAAATTCCGTATACTACCAATTACTTAAAAATACAGTCATTATTTTATTTAATGTAATAAATAAATGATTTTTTTTTACATGATTGAGACATAATTTGGTGGGAGAGCAAATTTTTACTTTGTAAAATACCAGGAAACTTTCAAACTCCGGTTTTAGAGGACTCCCTCCGTCCAGAAACAAATATTATATTTGACATGCAAAACTTAATTAAATAATTTAAGAAAAACTATAAAATAAATTTACCAGCACTAATATATTTCATCGATTGCTTAAATTTAATTCAAGATTTTACCAAAAAGAATGCTGCAATCATTTTGAAACAAAGTAAAATAAATTGTATTCCACTTATTGTTTATAAAAAGGAGCGTTCAGTTTTTGTTGGTATCTAGGACGCTATTCAATAAAAAACTAAACATAAAAAATTATACTCCCAAAACCATTTGTCTATCCTTACATTGATTTTATAATCATTTTATAAATTTGACAATAGATGACGTGTTAAAATTTACACATCTGATTCAAAACAACTTGTAACCATCTGCTCGATTTTAAGTCATATGAATCGTATATAATTCAAATACTATTTCAAATGGTTCAGATTAAATATTACAAGAATCCAACATATATCAGATACGTGCATGTCATCATTTATCTTTTTCATTATATATTTATAATACCAATAAATACAGAGAAAAGAGATGCACTTTGGTGAGGTCCACTTGCATGTAACAGTTATAAAGTATCAAAAACATATGCACATATACATCCAAAATAATACCAACATACGTCAGATATAACTATAAAGTGTCAAAACAACATATGCAGACAATTTTTTTAACCCAATCTTGATTTACAACAAACATAGGACTAAACTAAATAAATTATATCTGATTCGCATACATACATATCTAGAAGGAAGATCAAACAGAGAACAAAGGTCAAAACAAGAAAATAAGAGTATGGTCAAATCACATGTATTGTGTACCGAAATCACATGCAATTATGGCAAGAGTGTGTGGGTCACTTAGCCATCGACCTAGGTCGAGGCCAAGTCACCCGCACGCTCTCAAAGTGTTCCGTAATCACATGGGATGTTAGTATAAAATCACATGTGATCTACTATAGAATCACATGTGATCTACTACACATCCAATGCGACAAGGTTGTGAAAACTCGTACGTGCAATGGCCCGTCAACACGATCCTTCTGGAAGTGTGTTGTAAATCACATGTGATTTGACTATTTTCGTACTTCTCGTAAATTGATTGTCTTCTCGTTTGAATATATATACATATATATATATATTATATACACGTGTGTATGTACATGTATCTATATGTGTATATATATACACATATCTATATGCATACACGCGTAGGTACATGTATAAATATTCTTTTTTATAAATTTTTTTAACTTTTTTCAATTACATTATATAAATTTATTTAAATGTAATAGCGTTGTAATCTTCATTAAATTAGAAAGTATTAGAATCCAGATAGATCTGAACAAGGTAGTCTACTTTAGAAATGATATGATAGAAGAAAAATGAGGTCCGCATAAATATGAAAACGGATATATAAAAGAATGACCGGAATTCCATATGTTTGATAAGTGACAAATGTATATAGGTAGATAAATTGAAATGTCATAAAATATTCCCAAAATGGTTGTTACAGCTTTTATGAAAAGAAAAAGGAAAGACTATATAATTTGGGTGAAGAACAAAATAGTGAAAATAATTCAACCTTTATTTTCAATTTATTGTTAAACGGCGGTTCATCCTTTTTCAAGTCAGAAATCAGTGGACTATTGGACCAGGCTTCACTCCGGAAAACTCAAACTGCAATCAATGTGGTTTCCAATGATTTTGTCATTGTACCATCACCATCATTGTCAGATTAAAACTTAATAGAGTTCAATAAGCAATTTCGTTGTCAACCCTTATCTTGAAAATATATAAAAATATGTTTGATTTTAACATTTGTAAGAAGGAATTTATAAGAAAGAGGGTTCATGTAATTAGCATATGGAAAGAGTTTATTTAGGCTCACCGATCAAAAACAGCTATGTACTTGTTCAATCAAATGATCAATAAGTCTATAAAACTGTAACCTAACACTGGAAAGCTAAAGAGAATTTGGTAAAATAAATCATCAAAATAAAATTAAAGACCAAAATATATGGTTCCATGCATGGAATTATCGCCAAGTGGATCATCATAAAAGCAATTAGAAGTTTACCTGTAGGGCCTGTGAAGTATGCAATCTGTCTGTTGATTTGAATTTCACGATCACAAATTCAGAAATAAAAGCAAAAAGTTAAGAAAGTTTATGAACAAGCGCCTTAGCAATTTCAGATTCCCCAAGTAAATGTAAGTTGAAAAAATGAAACGTGAATTTAATTGTGAGACTTACTCTGTGAGAAAGCTCAGACGTTCCGCAAGTGGAGTAAGCCCAATCAAACTCAAAGCAAAAATCCATGGCTACAAAACCAGAGATACTAATCAGAATCATAAACTGCACCAATGTATTGTATATACAAACTTGCATGAAACAATGTATGTTCAACACTTACTCTACCGTAACTGTAACGTTGAGCGACAAACGCCATTGGAATAGCCGGAAAAAGCACGAAAAGCTTGGTTCCAAATATGACTTGTCGAACATTCTCGAAAAAAATTCTGAATAACCGAAACCTAACGGAAGATAAAACATCGGTCTCAGATCTCGTTCGTAACAACGATTCTCTCGTTTTCACAACAGAAATCGATTTCGCGATTTCTCCGTTCTCCAAGTCGTACTTCTCCGTCGAACCCATGGATGACCGATTTTACACACAAAAAACACACACTACTGAATGGATACACTTACCGGATGGATCGACGAATAGAGAATTGAATGAACATATGCAATTTGGATGAAACTAAGTCCGAATTGGAGCAAGGTATAGAGAGTTGTTGGGATTTGGGAGAGAGAGAGAGGGAGAAGGTTCCCGGAAGTTTCGTTTCGGAGGTGTAGTTTTGGTTTTTTGTTCGGATTTGTTGGATGAACACCACGTTACAATGGGTGGAAACGGCAACCGTGCTGCGTGGCCATAAATGCAGAAACAAACGATTCAAATTAAAATCACTTGAGAATGCATTTGCATGAAATTTTATCTTTCAAAACACCTTTATTTCTCATCAAAATTTTCAACTTATTTGTCGTTACTCTTTGTAAAGTTGAGTGTTTTTTAATTGAAAGGAGTTGGGGGTGTTTGGGATTGCTTATTTTAGGTGTTTTTTGACTTATTTTAGTCTGGCATCGATGATAAGCTAAATGCTAGTGTTTAGATGGGGAAAAATAAAACTGCTTATACCGGTACCAAACCGGTAATAAGCAATTTTTGATAAGTTAATCCTTCCTGACTTATAAAAAACTGTTTATTACCAGTTTACCATTTTAACCCTAATTTATTAATCTTATTGATATAAATTATTAATCTTATTGATCTAAATTTTTGTCAAATAAATTATTATAAATGATGAAAAATAAATTTTTACATCTTAAAAAATCAAATAAGTTAATAATCAATCGCAAACACTCCTATAAGTCAATAATATGGAAGACTGTTTTTTTGATCATTTTACATATATAAGCAAAATTTGTCAAACACTAGAAAACAACTTATCAGCTTATTTCTTTTTGGTACCACTATAAGCTAATCCAAACACTTTTTACAAAACTTCGGTTTGATACTACATAAGTTAATAAGCACTTTTACAAACAAAAAAAAAAAACAAAAAAACATAAGTTGTTTTAAATAAGCAATCCCAAACACCCCCTTAGTGGAAAAAAAACATTGGCTTTCTGCGTACAACTTGTCTTAAAAGCTTACTGAATTAATCACTTATTATATATCTTATTAAGTCACTATTAAACCGTCATGTATAGTTGGCCAGATGAGTTATGAGTCTCGTTAAATTTATTAAGTTACTAACAGAAGGCCCCTAGTGACCAAATAACATTTTATCGTATGTTATCATCTTATTATATAAAAAAAGGTGATTCTCATTTGTTGGGAGACTTGTTTTTGATAACTCGTGAATTTATGATAACCTTGAGAATCAGTGTATCATGTGTTATTTTATATGATTTTTTTATGTGAAGATTATGATTTATAATATCGATTAACACATATTTGTTTCACATTTTTAGCTTGTGTGTGAAACGAAAGTTGCATGTAAAAGTTCTCTCCATCCCCCAATGTGAGATTCAAATTGATATTCATCATGAGTTATTAAAAGTTATTTCATTTATCTCTCATTCAATTGTTCTAAAACTCTCAGTCTCGCTCTCTTGGTTCTTGGTTCTTGGTTCTTTGTTCTTGGTGTAAATCGAACACATTTGTAGAGCCGTTTAAATATGTTGGATTTTAAATATATTGTATTTTAAAATGTCATACAATTTTTTTCATCGAAAGACTGTAATTAGAACCATAACTCTTATTTATTCAAATTGTATTAATATGTAAAGACCAAGTGTAATTTATATCATCGTTAAATCTTCTCTAATAAGGCCAGTAAAACTTCAAAATCGTTAAAATTCACGGTTCCAACCGCATTGCGCGGATACACGACTAGTATGTATTTATATATGCTTACACAACAGCATCTCGAGGATATCCAACTCCGGCGAAGCTTGAAGCCAATGAAACTCTCCCCCCACCACCGGTGAACCTCGTTTCGGCTAACCCTTCCTCCTCGTTTCTCCGATAAAACACCCACCCTTCCCACCGCTGGACCTCGTTTCGGCCTTTTTCTTAAACCTCACTACACCGATCTGCTTCCCTCTCCCTTTCACCATCACCTGCAACCATCAAGCTATATGGAAACACAGGCACAGCCCCTGCAGAAAAAAAGATAAACTTGAAAAGAGGTTACAACGAGGAGGAGGGTAGTGGTAGTGGAAGAATGGCACCGGCGCGGATGGCTTCACCGGAGGGAGGTTGACGATATTCTGATGTATGGTCCATATATATATATATATATATATATATATATATATATATATATATACTAGGTTCGATCCGTGTATTACAAGGGGTAATTTTGAAAAACTAAATCATGTCAAAAAACTTATCTTACATATATGAATGATCATCAAAAGTACGATGTTACTTCAGATTTGTACTCTTAAAATAACTCTAAAGAATAACTCTGAAAAATGACTCTTCAGACTTGAATTTAGAAATGAAACTATATTAATAATTAGTTAAAATAAAGTTAACCTTAGAATAAAATTAAATTTAGAAATGAAACTATATCAGTAAATTGAATTTAAACCTAGAAGTAAATTTAGAACGACTCTTCAAACTTGTACTCTTGAAATAACTCTGAAATATAACTCTAAATAATGACTTCAGACTTGTACTCTTGAAATAACTCTCAAGTAAAACTCTTCAGACGTTAGAGCTCTGTATAGGCAAACCAAAAGCTCTGCATGCATATACAAAGACTCTGCATGGTGTTGTGCATGGTGCTCCGTTTGGAAAAGAAGAGTTTGGGTGAGCTAACTATGAAGAATGACTCTTTAGACTTGTAATCTGGAAATAACTCTGAAGTAAAACTCTGAAGAATGACTCTTTAGACTTGTACTCTTGAGATAACTCTGAAATATAAAATCAATCCCACTAAATTAGAGTTTAGACTTCTAAGTCTGAAAAAAAACTTCATAGTTCGGGTGAGCTAAATTTGAAAAGAAGACTTCAGAATTCAGGTGAGCTAACTCAGAAAAATGACTCTTCAGATTTGTACTCTTCAGACTTGTAGAAGAATTCAGAGTTCACACTTCTAAGTCTGAAAAAGAAGACTTCAGACTTCTTTTTCTAAGTCTAAAAAGACTTCAGAGTTCAGACTTCTAAGTCTGAAAAAGAAGACTTCCGAGTTTAGATTCCAGAGTTCGAGTGAGCTAAGTTTGGAAAAACAGACTTCAGAGTTCGGGTGAGCTAACTCTTTGGAATGACTCTTCAGACTTGTATTCTTGAAATAACTCTGAAGAATGACTTCAGACTTGTACTCTTGAAATAACTCTGAAGAATGACTTCAGACTTGTACTCTTGAAATAATTCTGAAGAATTACTTCATACATGTACTACTGAAATAACTCTAAAGAATAACTCTGAAGAATAACTCTGAAGTATAACTCTGAAGAATAACTCTGAAGTAAAACACTGAAGAATAACTCTGAAGTAAAACTCTGAAGAATAACTTCAAAGTAAAACACCATTTTTTCGGGAATCAGTTACCACCCGAATTAATTAACCCAAGAATAAAATCAATTGCATCCTAAATTAGTGAGATTGATTGAATAAGAGGACACATATCAATCAAATGAGTCTAATTGAACTGCTAATGTTTTGTGTCTGGATACGTTCAAATGAGTCTAATTGAACTAATAATGTAAATTGTGTCTAGATGATCTTTAGGCAGGAAAACAAGATAACCGCCTCACCAGAAGATGACACGTGTCACCCAAGTTACTTATTTATTATATATATAGATATGTTATATATGTATAATTATGAGGATGTGTCGACAGGACCTAACAATAAGTTTTATGCAAAATATAACTTGTTCATTAGATACAATAACAATATTAAACTTACTTTTGTTACACTTTCTGCTCTTTCTACAAAAAAAATTTAAAATTTTTCACCCTCGTCCGTAAAAAGAATAAAAATTATCTATGATTATTTTGGTAAACTTTGTAAATAAAGGCTTAAGAGGTGAAACCAACCGGTCAAAGTGACTATTTTAATTAATTTTTCCACATACAAACAAGTTTAGTTGTAGGTTATTTTGTGAAGTGATAAATATTTGAAAAGTAAATAAGTGACCCTAACCCTTCATGCAGTCAAAATCGGATTTGACTGGTTAAAATTTGCGGTTATGCGAAAAATAAAATGAGTAGTTTCGTAATTTTTACAAATAAACGACAAACAAGTTCATATATGAACATGTGCATTCACATATGAACTATATGTTCATATATGAATCCATGTAATTTACATATGAACCTGTGTGATTAACATTTGAACTAATTAATCGATTCACATATGAACCGATTAACTGATTCACATATGAACTAATTAACTGATTCTCATATGAACATATAGTTCATATGTGAATCACACTGGTTTATAGGTTTGTCGCCTATTTGTAAAAGTTACGAAACTACTCATCTATCTTCCGCATATCTATGCGAAAAATTATCCGATGTTTCACAATAAAAACGACAAATATTGAGCATATAAATGACTATAATTAATTCTTTACCTTTCAAATACCTTTAACACTCATCAAATAAACCTTTCTCACAACTCACAAGTTCATATTAATATATTTAACTTCAATACAATTTTTTTCATATATATATATATATATATATATATGGGGCCAAGATCAAATGTTAACCATCATTTTTGTGTTAACCTTATTAACTGATCTTGATCATCCAAATCTATAATCAACGGTTAAGATTAATCAATAAAAAAATTAAATTTTAAAGTTTGAATTTTAATGAGGCCTGCTAAACAATGATGAAAGGGACATTTTGGCAAGAAAAAATACACTTATCAAGGGTATTCTAGTAAATTGAATTTATTTGTAACCCCCAAACAATTAATGGGGAGTTACAAACAATCAAATCCCAAAAAATATGCATTCATATTATTATTATTATTATTTTTACTATTGATCTTCTATGTTCTTTCTTATATGAATTCCTAAATCGCATAAGAAACACGGTAGTAACAATTTTCGGTATTGATCAATTTGAACACAAATGAAACGTGAACACAATTTGAACACAAATGAACCGTGAACACGATATGAACACAAATGAACACGATATGTGC